TATAATAATATATCACTTAGAAACAAATTACTTTTGACATAAGTGATTTTTGTATCGGTGAGATAGTGACAATATAAAAATATGGACACTCGATGATAAATTCTTACACTTTTAGTTGCAAAATATCGAATCTTTAGAAACGTGAAATAAAAAAGAAATCATTCATGTTCAGTTGCAAAAAGTGTTCCATCTTTTTCCTTACAAGAGCCATTTTGCAAGAAATCAAATCTTAATGGAGTCAACCTTTTTGTTCAGATGCAGGGATTTGTCAAAAAAAAAACACCTATTTAAATGCACCAACCAAACAAATTTATCAGAGAATAAGAGCTTCCTTGAGTCAATAATTAAGGCAACTCCATCTCTTTCAAGTGCAACTCTGTTTTAGGAATGAGTATTCTTCAATGTGCAGCTCCACTACTTACATGCAACTCTCATTAATGGCGGGAAAGAGACATATCGAGAGAAAAATCTAGAGCTGATGAGTGTACATGTTATATTTAATTATAGGGACATTTTCATTATTTTTATTATAACTCTAATTTGTAAAAAAATAGTATGGGACTTTATTGACCTTTTACAATTACTTGGGACTTAATTGATCTAAAATTGATTTTTTGATGTCATTTTCCCTAATTGTTTTCCAGCTTTGTGGTGACCAGGAATTATATTGTCGGGTGATATTTTTGTTATACACTACTCAAATAATTGCATGGATTCGAATCTCCAAGTGGTTTGTTTGACAGTACAATGATTATGATAGATGACTGATGAGAAAACTTTTATTATTGTAAAACGGTACACAATTATCTTTCGTGCAATAATTTCTATAGCATGTGTGCATACCTCGCAGACGGTGACAATATAATCAGGGGTAGAGACAAGGGATCTCACAGCCCCCTAATTTTTTTTTTTTTTTACTGAAGTATAGAGTTATATATTTTGAGCTCTTTAAATTAATATATTACAGAAAACATTGAGACACAAAATGAGGGGTTTTGCTTCAATTTTATATATAGTCTTTTATATATATATAGTTCTCATTTCCAACGAGCTAATATTACATATATACTCTATAAGAATTGATATTATTTAATTTTGTTTTTATTTTATATTTTTGGTGTTCTGATTATCACTATATGTTATTGACAGCAACTTTTGTATTTATTCTTGCTTTCATTATTGCCCTTCCAGTAGATATTGGTGGTATTGATGAGCTTATTTTTAGATTTGTACTTTATGCAAATAATACTATAGGGAGAATATCAATGAAGAATTCTTGAAAGAATTTAATATCTATTTGATAATAAAGTTGAATGGATCATATACTTCACTACAAAAAAATTGACTTTTGACGACGACAAAAAGTCGCCGCCAAAAGTCCAAAAGCCGTCGCTAAAAAATTTTAGCGACGACTTTCCGCCACTAAAAATCATCGCTATAACAACCGTTGCTAATAATTTTTTACGGCGACAAATATTGTCGCCGCCAAAAGTCTTTTTTCCGTTAAAAGTCTTTTTAGTAACAACAAATGTCACCGCCAAAAAGACTTTTAGCGGTGACAATTTGTCACCGCCAAAACTTTTTTTTAAGAAATAATAATTTATTTTATGCCACATCACTCTGCCACTTGTGCATTAAGTGATGCCACGTCACCTACCATATATGCAACAGATTATGCCACATCACTTGCCATCTTGTGTCACATCACAGTCTATGTGTTCAACAGATAATGCCACATCACCCAACCATCTCATGCCATGTCACATGACACATGTGCACTTCCTCAAGTCACCTCATGTGCCACGTCACCATCTCGTGCCACATCACCTGCCATGTGTATGCCCCCGTCAAGCTACCTCATGTGCCACGCCACCAGTTCATGCTATATCACCTATCACGTGTGTGCCTTCTCAAACAACCTCACGTGCCACGTCACCACCACACGCCACGTCACATATTTGGTGTGAAATATGACAAAGCCAAGATTTGAACCCTTGACCTCTCCCTCCTCCAAACCTTAAACCTCCCTTCTATGCCAATTGAACTGAAATATACCTGCAGTTATTATATGTAAAATTAAATATATATTATGTAACTGCATACACATATATCAAATAATATATGATTAAAAAGAGATATATATATATATATATATATATTATTTTATTTTCAATTATTAATATGACAAAATGATTTATATGAATATTTAAATTATAATTTTAATAAAATATTATTTTTAACAATAAATATTATTTTTTTAGGAAAATGAACTTAAAATAAACAATTTTTAAATATTAAAATAATATTCTTATATACATTGTAATAAATTTTTAAATTATATTTTTATTTTTTAAATGAAAATTATTAAGTATATAATTTGTTTATAAAAATGTATTATATTATTTTATGTTAAATATCTTTTACTTTTTTCTTCTCCATATTTTTCTCTAAAATTGATAAACTAAATGATTAAATTTTTATCTTCTCTCAAAATAGCTAAATATTTCCCCCTCTTTTAATAAAAATATATTTTATAGATAATTTTTCAATATCTTAAAAAATTATTTTAATAAAAAATTAATTTTAACTACATAAATTTTGTTAATAGTCATTTTGAATAATTTTGAAAATGAATACTAATAACTTTTGTAATATATGATAATTACAAGAATCTCTGTGTGATCAATCTAGTTAACATCTAATCATCTTCAATCTTATAGAAAGGTGGATTTGAGTAGTTATTCATATTATTCTTAGTAATAATTAGTTATAAAATGTTATTATAGCAATGAAAATCTAAATATACTAGGAGGAATTACATGAAATCCTTGTCCAAAAGTCATTAAAGCTCAATAGAAGAAGTAAATACTATATATATATCAAGCTAAGCATAAAGTACGTAATATGCTAAGTAGTCTATAATATCATTAGCATCTCATGATGTTTGTACAACTTTAACTTCTTAATGCCATTTATGTATTTGATTGTAAGTAATAATTTATGTATAACTTAACCTAATTATAATTGAAGTAATAACCCATTAAGATTTAAATTTATCATATTAAAATACTAACTTAATAACATAATTCTTACAAAAAAAAATGAGCTATATATGTCTAAAAAATGATTATGAATAATATAAAATTAAAAAATTTAATAATTAAACTTAGCACACTTTAACTATTATTTTTTATTTCACGTTTCTATATATAATTTATTTTTAATTCTATACATAAAATAAGAAATTTAATTTCATAAATATATTTTGAATAATTTTATTTAATTATTTTTTTAATTTTTAAATTATTTTTTATAAAAATACTTTTGGTTGAAATTATATTAATTATTTTTTAATTTTTAAATTATTTTTTATAAAAAAGCTATTTGTCGCCGCCAAAAGTAAATTATATTAATTATTTTTAATTTTTAATTTATTTTTTATAAAAATACTTTTGGTGGTGATAAAATGTTGCCTCCAAAAGTGAACTTTTAGTGGCGACAAATTAAAGTCGCCGTCGCCACTAAAAGTGACTTTAAGCGGCGAGTTTGATTTATCGCCACTAAAAATATAGTTTTGGCAACAACTTTTGGCGGCAACAATTTGTCGCCGCCAAAAGTGGGCGTCGACTTTGATTTGTCGCCGCTAAAAGTCCACTTTTGGCAGCGACTTTTTTAGTCGCCACTAAAAGTTGTCGCCAAAAGTCATATTTTTTGTAGTGCTTGTTAAAACAATAACTTCACTTATTAGTTGTAAATGTTTACTTGTTAAAAATCCTTATTCAATATTAAATTCCTTCAATAGTCCTTCAATGATATTCTTTTAATAATATTATTATTTTTAGTGCCATTATTCATATACTTCCATGCCTATAGGTTTCCACTTTTACTCTTTGGGGTAAATAACATTCATTAATGAATGGTTATACAATGACGGTCCTTACGAACTAATTATTCCACGCTTCTTACTTAGTTACTAGTGTAGCTTGTTACATGGGTTGTAAGTGTGGAGACTTAGTTTTTATCTAGGTATGTGCCATTAGTTTGTTGCTGCATATTAAATATACTTTTGTCTATTGAAGAATATTTTCAACTATTTCACATATTTTAAAAAAATTAATTTTTTATATCATGAAAAATGAGATGTACTTTTATTTTTTTCCCGTAGCTTTAAATAATAATATAGCTACAATAAATATATTCACTGTAATTAAGAAATGGTAAAATTGGAAAAAAAAAAGTTTAATTATTATAAAGTGTCCTACATTTTTTATCGAACAATACTTCCAAAAGATGTGCTACAAATATGACCAAAGGGATTGATACCCCAATTTATGTACACTTTTGTTGTTGCACATTAGATATATTTTATGTAAAGCTCCAGTTTAGTTTCTTAATTTTATAAAATAAATTTTTAGTCCCTCAACCTTAATATCATCAATTAATGTCAAATGATGATCTTTTGTGTCAATTATTGTTAGTTTAATTAAAAAATGAAATTCAACAAGTCAACATTTAAAAATGTTTTATCAACATTTAAATGTTTAAAATTGATTTTTCTTTTTTTTTTTTTGGTTAATGAAACTAACCATATCAAGGTTAGAGAATATGGAGAAAAAAAAACTTTATAAAATTCATGAATTAAACTAAAACATTGTATAAAATTAAAAGAGACTAGCTAAAGATACACTTTACACATTATCTATTATTTGATAATAAAAATGTAAAATGCATTGCACCACATGCATATACTTAAAAGACAATATTTTTTATTTTGTCATACAATTTTATCCCAACTTAAAAAGACAATGGTAATTTACACCACTTATCTTATTTTATGTCCAAGGCCAAATCATTTGATATAAATAAATACAACTACTATGGAGCAATTCTTACATATTATCTATTAGTTGATAATAAAAAATATGTAACATGCATTGCACCACATATATATACTGGATCAATGTATAACTGATATTGAGAAATCAAAGAGGAAAAGAATATTGATGAAAACCTTTTTTAATTAATCAACAACAATAATTACAAAACATTCCTTCACTTGAAGGATTACAAAACTAATCAACCCATTTGGGTACTAATAACCATGTGTGAGGACCAAGTTAACCTCCCTCTTAAGGTAGGATTTCAACCCCATATCCTCTAAACACAATAAGACACCTTTTATATAGAACTTAGGGTCCAAAACTAACTAATGTGATTAACACTAATCACATGGTAATACTCTAATATTCCAACAACAGAAAAGACAATGTTTTTTTATTTTGTTATAAAATTTTATCCCAACTTAATATGGTAATGGTAATTTATATCGCTTCGCTTATTTTATGTCCAAGGCCGAATCATTTGATATAAATAAATACAACAACTATGGATCAATTCATGGTGATTTGTAAATTTTGCCTCCAAGATTTCTCAAAATTCACAAACCAAATGCAGTGAATCCTCCATCAACACAAATAATTTGTCCTGTTATGTAGGAGGCTGCTGGCAAGCAAAGGAACGGCACCACAGAAGATGTCTCATTTGGGTTCCCAATTCGTTTCAAAGGTATTCCTCTAATGAAATCCTCTTGTAACTTTTTATCTTCAAGGAGCTGCTATAAGAATAATAACAAAACTATTCTTAATTAAATTAAGTACATGACTCTTATGGATTTTGTGCAACAACAAAATGAGAAGAGAATTAAGTATAGAATAGAATAATTACCCGATCACCGAGGGGTGTCTTAGTAATGCCTGGTGCAACACAATTAGTCCTTATATTATCTTTCGCCCACTCACATGCCAAGTTCTTGGTGAGTTGGTTCATTGCTCCTGTATGCATTTCAAATTTTCTTATGCAATGATTGGATTGATGGATTTAGATTTGAAATCTTGCATATTAAATAATCTCACATTTAAAATTCATGTATTTAAAGATCCTTTGCTTTTGTAATTTAAAAAAATTCAAATAAAAAAATGAGTTCAGATTCGAAAGAAAAACATAAAATTGAGAATAGGTTTACTTATATTTTTTTAAATGGGAGTCATCATAGCAGCATCAATAGTCAAAACATGAGGATAACCAAATATTTGAAATGACAGGAATTTCAAATGACTAGTATGTGAAGAGAATTTGAAATTATAAAAGAATTATAATGTACAATTAATGAAATTTTCTACACATATATCTTACCACAAAAATCAAATAAAGGGAACAATATAATTACCTTTTGTTGCACTATATAGGGATCCCACATTTAAAGATACCACACCGGCCATGGAAGATATGAAAATGATGCTCGCAGCTTCTGAAGCTTTTAAAAGAGGATATGCAAGTTGGCTCATGTGATATGCAGATTCTAGATTTGTGCTAATAAAAAATGAGAAATCTTCTGCTGTATATTCCTCAGTTTGTTTCTTTATAGTTGTCCCTACATTGTTTACCTATTTATTAATAAAACATTAGCTTATAAAAAAAAGATATAAATACCCAAAATCTTAAAAGAATAATATATCGTAAAGTCCTAAAAGAAAAAATTAACAACAGTTAAATCCAGACAAAATTTTTAAAAAATGAGTTATAAATATTGATTCAGATAGTTGCAAATAGCTAGAGTCCTAAAGTGCAAACAGAGAGTTACATTGAGAATTTAAATGTTTTATTTACAATTAAAACTTTTGAATTTCCAACTATATATTTATAATTTATTTTTCACAAAATTTTATTAGAGACCTAACTATCATTAATTCTCTATATTGAGACTTAAATGTAATTCTCCTCAAAATCTTTCTAATATGGAGCCTTAAGAAAATCCATGAGAAGAACTTTGCTCACAATTTTTTTAAGCTTTTCTCACTTAATTTGTTAGGAGAAAAGCATTGTTTTCTTGCAGAACTGCTAGAGGCCAAAAAATTGATGGGATCTAAGAAGCACACATCAAATAAAGGCATCTAGCATCTATACTGATCACACACGCTATAATCAAGAGTTAAAAGATAAAAATATTCAAGAATCTTTTCATCAGGAGTGTGTAGTAATTTTAAGTTAGCAGCAGTGCATAAATATCCATAAATTCTTTTCAGTAAGGACAATTTTTCCATGTTTCTCATCAAAATAACTGACGATGAAATCAAAGGAATTAAATAATTATGAGCATGGGAAAACATAAGGACATGGGATGTCCAAACACTGGGATTCATTCGGCTGGAAATTAAATTCTTTCCATCTGACATGATAGCTAGGTTGCGGTATAGGATTTTCCTTCTAATGGTGTTGTGGAATCTTTTGAGAATGCGGTTTCATCAAAAGTCAACTATTCTACTCACATGACTTGACTTTTTATTTTTGGAAAAATGATAATTGAAGACTATAAAAAAAATTAATGTAAAATATAGACTTTAAGTTATAAATTCTTGAATTTTCAGTTATAAAAAAGAAGAAGAAATTAAACATAATGTATAAAAATACCCATAAACTTTATCTTCAAATACAAAAAAATCCCAAAAAAAAATTTCTAGGTATAAAAGTGTCATGCACCATTGTAAACTTAAAAATACCAAAAGCTCCTACAGAAATAGTTTCTGTGTATTTTTGATTCTTAACTCAACATCTTGTGTCCACATTAAAGGATGTTAAGCCATTTTAATGGTTTCATGAAGCATGCCGCCTCATTAAAAAAAGTTGATGAGTACTTCTATACTTTTGTTAACTTAAGGAAGCTAGATGCTCCTAACAAAACAATTCTTATGTATTTTTATCTTTTTAACCCTAATCAATCACAAATTAGAACATGGGAAACATTCTCTTTCCAACACATGAAGAAAACTATTCTATACATTATCAGTGATAAAAAAAAGCACATACATTACAAATATGTAAAATTAGTTTACTGACAAGGATATTGAGTTTTCCATGAAAGACTGAGGAAACTTTAGTGATGAGATTTTGTCTCTGTGCAGAAGAAACCATATCACAGATTGAACCAGTAACTTGAAGTCCCTTTGCAGTCCATTGTTGCAGGCATTCATTAAGCTCAGACTCATTTCTAGAACAAGTATGCACAGCAGCCCCTAACTGTGCTAGCTCCTCCACAATAGCATGCCTAAAATTCATCACCATAAAAAATTGAATTTAGTTTATAGATTTAATGCCTTGAGGAGCAATATATAGATATATTCTATATTTGACAAACCAGACCTTTTGATGAGCAAGTTTCTAAAATTCTGGACTCTAAATTTAATTTTGTTTGCATATATGAAACAACACACTCGCTAAAACCCTAACTTCACCAGATATATTAAATATAATTCTTGATGTAATGAAAGAATGAAAAAGAACAAGATAAGACATGACACGATTTCTTTAACCAGAGAGAGACAGAGAAAGAGAGAGAGACCCGATTCCTTTGGTTCCACCAGTAACAAGTGCAGTCATGCCTTGAAGAGACCACCTATTGGAATTTGCCTTTGATGCCATTTCTCTTTTTCTTTCTCTACTCACAACTAAACTGTGTCAACAATAACAGAAGCGATTTTTCATTCTCTTATCCTTTTTGTAATAGCCCAACTTCAATTCCTAGCTTTCTTTTTATTTTTCCTTTGAATCATTAGTTTCTATATAAAATAAGAGATATTTTAATATTTTAAAATCTCAAGACGGTTGAGTTATGTATTTTTTTAAACAATTTTTCAAAAATAAAAGGTGTAATTGTGATTATTTCCTTAAAAAATCATTCAAGAAAACAAAACTGCCACAGTTGTTTTGAGATTTTAAAATATCAAAATGTCTCTTATTTTATATAGAAACTAATAATAAAAAAACAAAGCTTAAAAGTTAGGACATTACAAAGAATATTAAAGAAAAGCATACTAGAAATCCCTAACCCAAAAAGACCAACTAGTTAGAACCCTAATAGTTACAATTGTTAATTAGCAAAACAAATTAACAAACAAAAAAGAAGGGGAAAGCTTTAACACTAGGGGACATGAACTTATTATCCACAAACCTTATCTAATCCCAAAACCGTGTAGATACCCATGCCTCACCAGTCATCCGTTTGCCCGATGTGGGACAACTTGTTTCCACAACCGACGCTTTTTCTCCATTCATATATAGTAAGTCCCAAAAAAAAAAAAATAACAACAGTTAGGTCCAAACAAAATTTTAAAAAAGAGTTATATATAGTAATTTAGACAATTATAAATAATTGAAACTCTAAATTGCAAACAGAGTTACATTTGAAATTTAAATGTTTTATTTGTAATTAAAACTTCTGAATTTGCAACTGTATATTTGAATTTATATTTATAATTTATTTTTCAAAAAAAATTATTGAGGATTTAACTGTAATTAATTCTCTCTATTGAGACTTAAATATAATTCTCCCCAAAATATTTCTAATATGGGGCCTTAAGAAAATCAATAAAAAGCATTTTTCTCACAATTACTTTAGGCTTTTCTCAAAAACAAAACTGCCACAATTGTTTTGGAATTTTAAAATATAAAAATGTCTCTCATTTTATGTAGAAACTAATAATAAAAAAACAAAGCTTAGAAGTTTGGACATTACAAAGAATAATAAAGAAAAGCACATTAGAAGTCCCTAACCCAAAAAGACCAACCAGTTAAAACCTTAATAGTTACAATTGTTAATTAGCAAAAGAAATTAACAAACAAACAAGAAGAGGAAAGCTTTAACACTAGTGGACATGAAGTTATTATCCACAAACCTTATCTCATCCCAAAACCGTGTGGATACCCATGCCTCATCAGTCATCCGCTTGCCCCATGTGGGACAATTTGTTTCCACAAACGAGGTTTTTTCTCCATTCATGTTTATTTAAAAAAAAATCTTGTACTTTATTTGTTATCAAAACTTGATCCTTTTAATTTTTTTTTATTAGGGAGTGTTTGGTTTTTTATTTTTGGCAACTAAAAGCGGAGCTATCAATAAAAGCTAACATGACCCTTAAGATTGTGACATCTAAGGGCTCAAGCCCAAAAACTTATATATTTTAAATTGATTATGTTTTACAAACCCAACTTTTATTGATAGGCTGAAATCTTGTATACTTTTTTATTTAAATTTATAACAATGTTAATACACAATTTAACAACTTATATCATTTTCATATATTAATTCTAAAATTTGATATAAATCCAACAATTTCAACAATTAAATTTTCAACAATTTCAACCATATACTATTATAAAAAATGAGAGAAAAATGCATGGCCTAAAAAAGCTAGCTCAAGCTCATTTTTAAAAAGCTTATAAAGGCATATCCTTAAAGCTCTTTTATGCAAAAAAAATTTCATTTCAAGGCTAACCTTAGAAAAATACAAGGTCTAAATGAATAGATAGCTTGAAGGGTCTAATGCATATTAATGATTAAAAATACTCTGTGAAGCACATTTTTACGTTCTAAGAGTCGAATTCATATATATTTTAAGAAAAATTATGTATAGATTTTATGGAGCAAACTAATTTATAAATAAGTCCCGCAAAATTTGAAAACTATAGATAGGTCCCTTGAAGCCTAAGTGTAATTTAAAATTAGACTATAAAGACAATAATACCCCTATTAAATATACATTGCATCAATTAAATAATTAATTTACAACTATTTCATCTACAATTTACAAATATAATTTTAAATTTTTATAACTATAATGTAATATATCCAATAGTTAAACAATCATGTGTTACTAATAAAGTTTAACATTAATTATTTACAACAACTTCATTAGTAATTTATAACTATAATTTCAATTTTTTGCAACTATAAATTCACATATTTAATAGTTAAATTGATTAATATAATTATTGGATATATAAAGTTACAATTGTAAAAAATTTAAGATATAGTTATAAATTACTGATAAAGTAGTTGTAAATTATTATGACTTATGTAGTGTGTGTGTGTGTGTGTGTGTGTGTGTGTAATAGAGACATTATTGTCTTTTTATCTCAATTTTAAATTATACTTAAGTCTCAAAGGACCTAGGTAGAGTCGAAAAAATGGGTTGAACCCATGGGCTAGCCTGTTCAACCCGCTAATTTTAATAGGTTAGGTTGAAAGAATTAGTTCATTTTTTAAAATGGGTTGGGCTAGTCCAATCTGCAAAAATAACAGGTTAAAATAGGCTAACTCGCAGGCTAAATGGGGCAGCCTATAGGCTAGCCTATTTTTAAAAAAAATAATTTATTTTTTCAATCATAATATATCTTCTTATAAATATATAATAATGACAATATTTCTCAAATCTATAATTTACAAGTTTCAAATATGTTCTTTACATTTGAAAGATAGTGTAAATCTTTCTTAAAAATTGCAAAATGAAGTTTTTGTTATAGTTTGTAAATCAATTATTTATTAGTTTTTATAGAAATATTTTAAATATATATTATTTATTAATCTCATAAGATCTACTGATTGAAATCACAAACATAAATTCATTGAGAAAAATAATATGGTTTATATTCAAATTTTATTTTAAAAAATAATATGAGAAAAATTATTGTCTATATATATGATAAGTTGATTATAAATTTTAAATTATTTTAAAAAAATAAAATTATATTTTGCGGGCTGATGGGGGTTGGGTTGGGTTTTCTTAACCCGTTTATTTTGGCAAGCTGGCCTAACCCAACCCGCTAAAATGCTAACCTATGCAAGCTAGTCTGCTGGTTGGGCCGCAACTCGTTTGCACAGCTTTAGACCTACGTGTAGTTTCTAAATTTCGTAGTATTTATTTTTAAAAAAGTCTACTCCACAAGACATATATATAATTTTTTTATTTTTTATTTGTAAAAACTCAGTGCTTAATGATTCTTTAACTCAATAAATTACATGAAATTATTTAGATTAAAATTTAAAAATTGAATCAATAATACAATTTAAATTGATAATTCTTCTGCAGGTACTACACCCACATGTTTTTACGTAGGTGGACAACTACTATCCAATTTCTCACTGTAGGCCCTATATTTTTCCAATTCAATAAACAACAATTGAAACTGTAGTTCTACAGTACAATATCAATTGGACCAAACACTTGGCCAACTATTATGGTAATAAAAAATATTAAACCCATTTACAAAATGTCAACCATGGTTAAAAAAAACTAAATAATGAAAAGTCTAGTATCATTAAAATGAATCAAAATACCTTTTACAAACACAAATACAATCTTCCATGGTAGATAGACATTCTCTACCATAATAATCATACTATGATAAAAAAGAGTTTCTAGCCGTTGTAAAAAATAATTTTTAATTAGTGTAAAAAGTGTATTTTATAATAAACAAACTTCAATTATGCTAAAGTAAAAAGCTTTTCATAAGTGACGTAAAAAGTTCCTTCTAGTACTATCATGCTAAAGTAAAAAGGGAATATTGATGGTTTAAAAGTAAAAAAACTACTATGATGCATGCTAAAGTAAATTGAAAAATTAAATTAATCATTGAGGCCACAATATAAGTCGTGCAAAAAAACAACAAACTAAATTAGATTAGAGCTCAAAAAGGTCATGCAACTAAGAGGTGGATCATGTAAAATTATTGGATTGAATGTCTTACAATTAGCATGACAAACAAGTTAGTTAGCACTGCCGTTAGTTTCTTTGAACATGTGATCAAAAGTAACAATCTAGTCTTGCATTAATAAATCTCTAATCTTTTTAATGGAGTGTAAAGAGGGTGATTCGAAGAAAATTCATTGAGTGAGCACGAGGATTTCCATCCAATTAGTAAGAAAACCAATTTTGAGATAATTCTCACTTTGACAGAGTGTTAGCCCTTTCAAGACATATAAGAGTTTTGCTATCATGCTTGATTGAAATCCAATGTATTTTTTGAAACCCTTCAACCAACTTCCATGTTCTTTTCATATTAGATCACCACAAGTTGCAACCACATTAGGAGTAACAAATCCATCAATACCTTATTTTGGGATTAGTTTGTTCATTCTTGCTTCCAAGTTAGAGTCATTGATATTATTTTAAGTAGAAATAAAGGCAATGTCCTTTTCAAGTTCATTATTACTAGAATAGAGTTTGTTGTATCTAGTTTTCTATATGTTTTAGCTTACATGAGTATAGAATCTTTGCCAATTCTAGCATTATTGCCTCCAGCACTATTTTTTGCATTTCACAATACCTAATCCTGTAAGGAAAGATAAAATAAAGCATTTAGTTTGGAACATTTCACTAATCTAACTTTACTTCCCAGGCTTCAGTGCTATCCCAGAGAATGAGAAGAGAGGAGGCAGCAAAATTACAACCAAAGGGACAAGTCCTTTGACCAGTATCAATTTCTTTAGTATTGATAAATTTGGTTTGGAGACAGTCACATTCAGCTTTTAAGAGAAAGAATTTAATTTTTTTTTATAAGTTAGCCATTTCTAAATTTTAATCCAAATTTCAAAACTTTCATAATAGCTTTGTAAGCTAATTTAATATAAAAGTTTCCATCACTTGAAATTTGGAAAGTTAATTAAGTGGTGAGACATAAGAAAGTTTATCTAATGCAAAATAAGGAGCTCTCCCATATTCAAGCTTCGACATGGCTCCAGTTTGGGTGGTCATCACTATGATAAGA